TATTCTTGAGAACAACAGTGCAGGTTCAATTCTGCCTTGGGTAGGTTGAAAACTATTTCGTGGAATCCATGAAATGAATCTCGACCTCCTCACTTTGGTTAGAATAGGTTTGGTTGTGTTTCTAGAATAAATCTCTGTCCCATGTGCCTGAAATGGTGAGAAGGGATAATAAAAAAAAGCCACTGGAGCGGTGTCACTATCAGGAGCCATTGTGTACCAACTACACGATACCGGCTCAGAGTTCTGAGAAGAAAAAATTACAGTTGTATCGAAATAATTGTTTTTTGTTGCTGTCACAAATTGGAGCTGCGACTTAAAATATCTGTTTAACACGTCACTATCAGGTATCTGTAATTCACTAATACTTTTCTAATATCCTGTATCCTGTCAAGATAGCATTTTGACTTTGTTAACACTTTATTCTATTTCTTTTAGAACTATGTTAATCGAATTTACAGTGTTAACATCAATAGGTTGATAATTAAAGAAAGATATCCAGACCAACAAAGTATTTCAGGTCTGAATATAACAAGTTAATATCAATATATTTACTGATTATATATATATCAGTAAATCTATTGGTTTAAACTAGCAATAAGTTAATAAATATTTTAAAGTTTAATCTTTCAAATAAGTTATTATATCGGATAGAAATAACTAGATATTTTCCTCCCCTGATATTTATAATATATGAACTATTAATGAATGATTGATGTTTAACACATAAATATAACAATAACTTCATGTTCCAAGCGAATTATTTAGGGTTCCTAAATCACTTGCCATGTTCCAATCATAGATGATTCGATTCAGCAATATTTCCTTATATATTAACCCACCCACATTTCAATTCATATACTTACATAAAAAAAAACCTGTAATGCATCTCGGTTTCAATTGTTCAAATAAAACCAATTAATATAACATTCCAACAACTTCGAGCCTCAAGTCCATTAACAGCCTTAATAACTTGTCAAAAACCCAATATAATTTTGAAATGCAAATCTGACAGAATTTAAATATAAATTTCATTTTCGAAGTTTCCATTAAATAAGCAATAAATGTAAGCTAAATAATCTACTGTTACAGCATAACAATAGTGAAATTTCATTTTCAGCTTATCTTGCCAAGAAATATATAAGTTGACTCACCACTTTCTATTAAAAAAACAAGCAGTTCTTTCTGGAATGTGGCTTTGTTTTGACTTAAATGGAACACAGCAATAGTAACACTTCAACAAACTACTTACAGAGATGAGACATCCAACTAAACTGCCACCACAAAACCGCCATATTCCTGAAACTAGATGAAACAGGAAACTGTCATGCTGTAGGACTAATGTTTACTTATCATTACCTTTATATAAGAATATACTTATTATAAGAAGTATAATTGTAAAATGATAATAAAAAGCTGATTATTGGTTTTTAGATTATTAATAATTTAAATACTTAAATAGATAAAGACTTCCAATATCTAATCTTATTTTGCAGAATATTTTTTTCATTTGGGGCAGATTCAAGGGTACCCAGAAAGGGGTTTCATAGCGCTAGTTGCGTCATCAAGATTTTTGAGGGGGCATATTATGACGGGGTTTTGAATTTTTGAGGAGGGGGAGCACATTTCGATCGGGTTATAAATTTTCGGAATAAAAAGTTTGAAACCTAAGGACAAGATGAAAGCATAAAACAGACCACTGGAAGTGAAATTGTGGGGAGCGGGGTGGCCGAATGGGCTAAAGCCTGTGCACAGCACCGCGAGTTGCTCAGCAACCAGATATATGAAGTTTTGAGAGACAAAAATTAAGTACGAGTTCGCGTCCCGGTGTCGGAGGGGATTTTTAATTCCCCACCCTGACCCTCCGGCCCGGGGAAATCCCGTATAGCCTAAACGGCGAGGTAGGGAAGAACAAAAAAAAAAAAAAAAAGGAAGTGAAATTGTGTTTGAACTGTGTGTTTTTAAGTGCTACTTTAGCTTACACTGTTTTTAAGAAGAAGAGATCTAGAGAGAAATTGTTTTATACAATTTTGGATGTGCTGAGGGGGCAACTAATCTGATGCAGACCCTACGTGTTAAGCTCCCTCTTAGTTTAAATCAACTTCGAATGAAGTCTAACTATTATTCAAATTAAGTTTATTGTAATTTAAAAGAAAGTGGACTGTATTTTGAAACATTTACACCTACTAATAATGAAAACATAAAATGAAATCAATTTTACACTGGTATCAATAGATATAGTAAAGTAATAATTTGTAAAATTAAAATAACGATAAGCTGAATACAATGTTAATAATAATTATGAAATATGAATAGCTCGATGTGGTCGCAAGCAGGTGACGGTCGTAGATATGGAGGAACCGCTGGCACTCCAATCCTTCTTCAGCGACTGAACGTAGGTTCAGTATGAGCGCTCATATAATTACAACTGCAAATGGGCAGCGGTTAGCACGACAAGAAGAGTACGTCTCTTCAAAGGTGGGCAGTATAGCAGTTGGCAGTACTCAGATCAGTAACGGGCGGAGTCAGACTGTCTATTGTCATTTCTAACGCCTTAGGACTTGAACCTAGCACTTGTTTATAGTTAGGGGTGGTCGAAAGCAGGTGACGGTCTTAGATTTGGACGTACCGCTGGAACTCCAATCCTTATTCAGCGACTGAACGTAGGTTCAATATTAGCGCTCATAGAATTAAAGCAGCAAATGGACAGCGCCGAGCACAACGAGAAAAGTACGTCTCTTCACAATAGAACTGCAGTGGGCATTGTAGAAGTTGGCAGCACTCAGCTCAGTTACGGGCGGAGTCAGACTGTCTATTGTCAATTCTACCGCCTTATGACTTGAACCTAGCACTTGTTTATAGCTAGGGCTACAATCGATAAAAATGTAATCATAAACTATTGACCTATTAAATATTGGCAGTTTATTGAATATAAACAAAACAAGCTCTGGTCCTAAGAATATATATATAATTATTAATAGCTTCATTGTATGAGACAAACCAAAATAACAATTAACCGAATATTGTTAAAAATAAAAATAAAATAAATTAACGCCACAGCGTTAACACGAGGGACTCGTTAGCGAGAGGGAGGACAACCGGATCTACAAGGTATTTTTTAGACTTCTAAATCCAAATTAAAATAAATTATAGATAACATTACATATATTTTAAAATAATTATGTAGTACCTTTACATAATATTTTTCTGGCATACTTCATAAAAGACTTTGGTTGAGTTTTGTTTGTAAACTTTCGATGCTCAAATCTTGTTGTCGATCTATCTATACTGGCTCTACAACCCGCTTAACCAGTCATGGCCTCCGCCAACAGCATCCGACAGGTGTCCCTACTGTCACCATCCAGTCTCGAACACCTAGCTTCCTGGCATCTTTGTCCACGCTGTCCGTCCATCTTAACTTTGCTCTTCCTACTCGTCGAGCTCCATACAGGATTTCAACCAACACCTCCTTTAGGATCGTGCCGTCTCTCATTCTGGCTACATGACCTGCCCATCTGAGACGGCCTGCTCTAATAAAATTGACAATATTGGCTTGTTGTTGAGTTTTCGGAATAGCTCAGCATTCAGATTCTTAGGTTAGGACCGGTTTGATAAGGGTTGTATAAAAATGTACCATTGAGGTCATGGGAATATTTCTGAAGGCCATAATTACACCTATTTGTTGATGCATTTCGAGGTTAATCATATCATTTCTGGTAATTCACCTAGGTTCTGCGAATCAGTATATTCTGCGACTCTCTGAAATCTGTTCTGTCTAATGTAAACCCAACCATTCTGCTGGACCAATAGGGTTTGCAAACTTGCATTTTGGTATCGTTTCATTAATGGCGGGACCCATTTTTGCGGTTTCTCTTTTTAGGACTAGGAAGGCATACCTCGTCGCTCCAAATGTCCTCTCGAACACATAAACGTCGTCTTCAAAGGCTAGGGTCATAGTGGACTTTTTGAACGCTATTCCTCCAACACGGATGTTGCATGTCCGTACGGCACATTCCAGGCTGAAGTTATAAATGAGTTATGCCAGGGACTCAACCAAAGCCAGGGAGTCCCCCTACCAGAGTAGTTTGTGAGTGGGAGATATCTCTGGCTTGCCTTCTTGAATTCGTACTCGTAGCAATTCACCTTCGTAATTGCCATGTGGATCAAACACATTCGTTTCGTTAGAATCCCTAACCCTAGCATTCCCTTATAACCATTAATTCCTCTATACGAGATTTCCCCTGCAGACACTTCCATATGCAATCTTGGCATCTATAAATAGGTGATAGGGACTGATTCTAAATTCTTTTGCCATTTGTAGTAGGATTCCATGTAGGCAGTAACACTAGGAAAATAAATATTTTTCATTGAAATTAGTAGATTTTGTTTATTCCATGAACTAGAGAGCTAAGGTCTAGAAGTAGGTACGCAAGTATTTTATCACGCTTTATGTTCCAGAATGGATCTACGGAGAGTGAAGAAAAGGCCGAAGCCTTCCCAAATAGAAGTATATAACCATGTATTATGAAAAAAATATTAAAAAATTATCTCTAGAAATATTATTGTTTGTGTAATTACATTTTAATAGGACTTCAAGAATCATTTAAACACTATTTCATATAACTAGTTAGTTTCTTTCTTTTAGTCCAAAGTAATTATCATTATATATATATATACAAAAAAAATTTATTAGTATCGATTTTTAGCTATTTATGTACGTTCAACAGGTTGCCTTGTAAATTTGTTCACTAAATTTATTAATTGAAGTTCTTTAATGTAGTTTTTTTCATTACTTATTTAGGGTTACTGTAGATAGTATTTTTATTTTCTCACTATCCAGGACAGAGTTATTTCATTAATTACGGATGCTTCAATTAACAGTGCGATAGGCGTGGTTTGTTGTTACTTGGAAGGTTGTTATGTGAAACTTGATTGTTTATTTATTTTCTCCCGCCACTAGTTTTTATTGTTTATTTAGTTTTTAAAGCAATTTGTTAACTAAGATGAACTTTTACATTGTTTTATTCTTATTCACTTTCTTGGGAATTGAAAGTAAGTAAATAGTTTTTTGTTTAATATTCTGTATTAAAGTTGTAACTTATGGCATACTTTCATTTCCTACAGCTCTAGCAATAAAATGTTGGGTCTGCCGTTCAGATTCTGATCCAAAATGTGCTGATCCATTTGATAATAGTACAGTACCTATAACTGATTGTAGTCATGAACCTGATTTGATGCACTTTCCTGGGGTCAGACCTACAATGTGTAGAAAAATCAGACAAAAAGGTAGGTGAAATATTTCAATTTCTTTTCACTAATGGTTTTACCAACTGACCAGAAATATTTTTTTATTAAATTTATTGAGTTTCCAAGAGAAATCACTGAAGTTGGGGGTACCTAATATCACAACGATCTCATTGTAGTTGTAATTCTGAAATTCAATTGAGATGTCTGATCTCCTGCTTTGTAAGGCTTCTAACTCTAACTAAAAAAGTCTCATGATTTTTTTTTCTCTCGAGTTATTGAATAACTCCTTAGTAAAGTAATAATCATAGGGTCAAATCTCGGCCCCTACTTCCCAGTATGGTTGGTCCCTACGGGAAGTTAAGTATATATATATATATATATACATATACATTTTATTCTAAATAGATGAACTTTTAAAATATCTGTTTGTTTTTAAAGCACAAAAAAGAATAAAATAAGTCGCCACGTGTAAATAATTTAGTACACATAGTTCTCTCATTGGTATTTACTACTTGTAATTTCAAGCTGATAGCCTATCCGTACACTTCCGTCTTCTTCATACCATTCTCTTCCATAGTGCCTTACATTAAAAGAATCAATAATCAATAATTACTCCCGCTTGGTTTTCCTAACATATAGGTTAAATTTATGGTTTTGGTTATCCATTGAAGAAGTAGAAGTTGAAAGTTTGTGATAATATAAATGTATATAAAAAAAAAAAATAAAGTGGCACTTCCAGTTAGCCGATTTTGAAGAAAAAGTTGCTGTCACATCTAAGGCATATTACCTATCTTAAATACGTAATATCAGTTTCATAGGACTTTTCGTTTTTGAGCTAGACTGCTAACATACAGACCATTTTTCAGGACTTAGTCATTTCGACTCAGGGTACCTCAAAACGTGTATTTCCGTTGAAAACTCAGATTCAAAAATTTTCTCGATCACAATACTTAACTTACCCTTACTATATATTACATATATGTAAGTGAAAGTAAAAACAGTCATAAAGTATATGGTTAACATTATTTGTATATCTTTATTTGTTTTTCATATAAACTGTGAAATTATATAGGATTGTTTCATAATAATAATTACACCTTTATTCCTTGTGCACAATAAGTTTCATCAGGCCGCAGTGCATTATACCAGCTTGGAAATTATTCATTGATTTTTATTTTCTCCCATTTATATATATTGATTAATGTTGTTTCAAAAACTAACCATAGTAAAATTTATGTTTCATTTTAGTGAATGGTGAATGGAGATACTTCAGAAGTTGTGCTTATTTGGGCGAACCAGGAATTGAAGGCGATGAGCGATTCTGCCTAATGAGAACAGGAACTTATAACATTTTTATGGAATATTGCACATGCAATAGCAAAGATGGGTGTAATACAGGAGCAAATTTATCGTCCATGTCTTTTATTTCACTCTTTTTGTTAATTTCTTTTATTTATTATTTTGTAGGTTAATATTGTGCCTTATAAATGCAATTTAAAGACTGTAACTAATTAATTTATCACTAAGGATTATAGAAGATCCTTGTAGATGCACAGATCATTTATTCACTTATTTCTTGTCTTCAATTTTCTTTTCAGTCAAATTTTGTATTATGTATTGTATAGCTAATTTTCTTCTTCATTAATTTTAAAAATATTTTAAAAGTTTTGTATATTATCATGAAAGTTGTCCAAACCTCATTGTATTAATTAATGTATATTATAGTATAGAAATAATGATTTGTTTTATTAATATAGTTCAAATCTGATTTTATTATAACTGATCTAATTTTATTATAGTTGACTTCATCTTGGTTGGTTGTATTCTGATTACTGACTTTGTTGTAATTTTTTAGTTTTAATTTAATCTGCTGTTAATGATATATATTTATAAACATAATAATCTTAATAGATCTTAGACAGTCACTACACTTACTAAAGATTTGTAAATTATTACATCGCATGAATCTCTTATATACTTGGCTGTGCTAATAAGTTTAATATTCACCTCAGTTATAAGTATTGGTGCAGTACAAAATACTACTTTGTTAATTGGTACCTTATCCGATCTTAAATGTTGTTATCATTATTAAATTTTATTGCTGTAATTAGTTTTGTAATTAATCAAAATATTTTATTAGTATTATAAATTTAATAATATCACATAAATTGTGTTATTTTAGGCTTAATTAATAATTTTTTTTTTAAATTTTGATAAATTTTATGTGTTCACAATAATATTACATTTTATGTAATTATCAAATTTTATTGCAACGATCCGTCCACATTGCCATTGTTATTAGGTAGTGCATTAACCATACATTTTTCTTTTATACGAGTTTATATTTTTTGTAACAAAGTTTCTAGTTTAATGAAATATATTTTAATAAACATATGTTATGTTGAAAAAATAATTGTGGAAGTTGTTTATTTTTTAAATACCATTTACTGCTCGCTTGCAATATTTGTTTGCAGTTTTTGAGATTGTAAAATGGTGTTGAAAGTAGCTAAAAGTTCTCCATCTCTTGTGGATCTGAAAAGACCTGGAGGAAGAACGAGGAAGAAAATCATTATTCCTAAGAGTAAACTATCTTTTTTACTTTATATCTACTTTGCTGAATGTATTTATTCTTAATTATGTTGTCACTTCCTTTTATTGGGTTGCTAAATCAAACAAGAACCTTCTATGAAACTCTTTTGTTTGAGAGCTTATTCAATTTATTAAGTTTTAAGGTGACTATTTTTTTCTGATCTTGTTAAATTTAATGCTTTTTTGTTGTAATGTCCAATTTTATTATCATAGTTGTGGATTGATGGTTAACTGTAGTGAATGAATGAAAAGAAGAATGGTTGGGGTGATCAATAAAAAAAAATTAGTAAAAATAAATAATTAAATTGATTTTTATTTTTGCCGACATTTCGGCCCAAAGTTCAGGCCTTCATCAGGACTAAGAAAAAACCAGATAACAATAGGTATGGGAAACTATTAACATTGAATATTAAAGAATTCAAATTAAAAAGGTGAAAGGTATTGATTAAAAAATGTAGATAGAATAAACTTAAAGTAAAATAAAGTAGATAGAGTGAACATTAAAGTAGGTAGAATAATAACAGTTACAGAGAACTAAGAAATAAATAATAACGGCAACAAAGTAGAGACTAATGTAATAAGCATAAGCAAAATGAGGTAACAAGAAATTAAAAAGGAATTAACAACGAAAAATAGTGAAATTTATAAGACAACAAACAAAAGTGTAGACAATAAATAAATAAATAAATGGGCTAAAATATGATGTAATAGTATGCTAAAAGGATTTATTATAATATGCTTAACAGCTAAGGTAATTTACCAATGTCAATAAATTAAGAATGTTGCCGTTCACATACCTACCAGTTATCTAGAGGAATATTAAGAATGGGAATTTTACAAGCTAAATGAAATTTGTGAATATTTTTTTGTTCATTTTTATTTATTAAACAACCAAATCATAAACTGACCCAGTCTATTTTTAGTTATATATAGGGAATACATGGTCTCATACCTACACATTTGTAATAGGATTTTTGAAACTTAAGATTAGAGTAGATAAACTATATTTCCCATAAAACCCTTTCAATGAAGCCGATAAATGTAGTAAATATCTTATAATTGGATTAATAAATCTTATTCATTAAATTTTAACTTTTTCTTTTTAAAAATAATTTGAAGTTTTAATTGTAGAAATTCGACTAATTTATTGATTTGATACAGAAAAATACATTGTCGCCTATGATGAAATTGCTGCTTTCAAAAGGAGAGAAAAAACTGAATACGAAGCTTTTGTTAACAAAGTTACATCTGTAATGCTCGAAGAATTTGTAGATTAGTAAGTTTAAAATAAAATACTAAAAGTCGGAAGATGTTATAAGCGAGTATAAATTTACTGTTATAATTCTGAATTCTTTGTAACAAAGAGTTGACATAATAGTAATCTATAAACAATTATAATTATAAAAGATTAAACTTATTACTTTTTTTCTAATTATTTTAAAAACTACTTAATAGTGTACGTTTCGGTTGAGGCTCTGACATGGTCAACATTCACATACATATGTGCAAGTAATATTTATTAGATTACTACAAACATTCTATGTCTTAATCAGAGAAAACGTAAGGCAGTTCAATAAACATTACTCCATTACATTATATATGTTAATGTTGACAGCAATTCTCAAATAACTTCTCAAATTCCTGATTGAATCCTCTCCTTCATATATTCTTCAAAGGATCTTTCTTTTTAATAACAAAAGATTATTTTGAATGAGTACTAATGTTTAGCAACCATTAGGGAGAGCTGAACCATATTTTGGATAAGAAGTGACTACTAAACTAAACTCTCCGTCAAAATCATCGTAACGCTTTGAAATATTTGAATCTTACCAAAATATCTGTTTTCTTTTTTATAATAAAGAAAGGTTCTGAAGTCTATAACAAGCCATTTTAAACTGGACATAAACAAGTTTTATTTAAATAAATTATAATATTCCTTCCAATAAACAAAAAAGTTAGAAAACTTACTTTTTCAAATTTACCTTATTTACAATTTTAACTTTAAAATTTTTAACTTGCCTTTATTAAGATGTATTGCTTCCTCTGGCTTGAATGACTGCTTCCACTCTTCTTGGCATACTTGTTAAAAGATTTTGAAGAAAATCTGAGGGTATATTGTCCCCTTCCTCCAATATAGCTGCCTTTAGCATTTCAAGGGTAGTATGAGATAAATCTCGTGAACAAACCTTTCTTATGAAATAATCCCAAACGTGCTCTATTGGGTTAAGGTTAGGACTTCTTGGTGGTCAATCAATGGTGTGGATATTTGTGGTGTTCTGGTACTCAGAAACACATCTTGCCTTGTGAGGACGGGCATTATCACACATAAGCAACGATTCAGAGCCTATGAACGGCATAAAAGGCCCCTCCTAGGATTGGCACTAACTCGGTAAGTTCCTCCCAAGATATACCACCTCAAAACATGATAGAACTTCCCCTCTTCCCCACAAATGGCTCAGTTTCTAATGTACAGCACTGACTATACCGTTCTCTAGACCTCTTTCATGGTCTTGGTCTGTTAAGGGCCACTCTCATCCCATCAGCGAATAAAACTTATTTCCATTCCTCCAAAGTCCAAGATTGGTGTTCCCTTGCAAATCTTAATCTCTTTATGTGTTGTTCAGTGGTAAGAAGAGGACCTTTCACTGACCTTCTACAGCTGAGGTTTGACTCTCTCAGTCTTCCAACGACCATTGACTCTTAGATTGATATCGCTCAAACAACAGCGACCAAGTTTTTAATGAAAGAAGCTGTAGAATTACACTTCCGAAGTGCATACATTTTAATGAAGTGGTCATCTATGGGATTAGCAATCCTGGGACGCCCTGACGTTGATTGCCTCGAATGACTATCAGTCTCCCTGTATCCTTTTATGGTCTTTGAAACGTAACAATAGTGAATCCTAAGGTGATTAGCGATGTAATGCAATTATTTGCCTTCTTCAGAGAGAGCGATGATTCTGACCGAATCATTGTGGCTTAAAGGATTCATTGTGGATAAAATTAGTTGTTATAACAAGGCTAAAGAGAAAAGAGAGAACAGACTCAAGGCAAATCAAAGATAAACATAGAATGAATAAACCAAAATTCCATATTTTTTTTTGTAAACAGTAAATAAAAATGATGTGTCTAATATCTGTCTCTGATTTAATAAATAATTACTATAAATATAAAAAAAGTGTGGATTAAGGTCAAAAACAAGAAAATCTCGAGAATTATGGATGTGGGAATACTTTTGACACGGAGTGTACTTGCTTAAGCTCACATTGAATATAATTCTATATAAGGTTTTTTTTTTAGTAATACCAACTTTTTATGTTTCATGATTTTTTTAATTTTATTAATTACATTTACATGACGTAAAGCTTTAAAAAAAAAAAAAAATGAAACAAAACCCTACACCTACTGCTAAAAAATCTTCTATATTGAAGAAGACATCTTTTAGCTTTGAAATAGTATAGTTACTACTTTTTTTAAGCCTGAAGAAGGAGAAATGTGCCAAGAAAATAGTTATGAAGAAAGATAAATGTGATCTGAGTGATATTAGCCAGATTAGTCTAGTTTCACCAGCTCCTTCATGTTCTATGATTGATGATGAAATGTCATTTAATTTATCTTCCCAGTCTGATGAAAAACAAAATACTTCTGATAAAAAGAAACACTCCATTACAACATCTACCATCAAATATAACCAGGACCTGAATGAAGTAAAATTGTAAGTAAAAAGATGAGTAAAACCTTGTATGAAGTAATAGCATTATTTAATAAATAAATAAAATCTATATTTTTTAATTACAAAAGAAACTATGTTAAACATTGATGATTTTTATATTGCTTGCTTCCATTTTCTAAAACTTCAGTAGTTAATTCCGCCCCAACTCTTTTATAATCAAAAAGCATATATACCAATGTTTGTTAAAACTTACCCTTTCTGTTTACAACAGGTAATAGACCTTATACAATAATGTTGTTGGGGATCAAAGTATTTTAAGACATTAAAAAATAGTGCTCAATTTCTTCACCTTAAATCTTAGAAGGTAGAACAAAATTAATAGTACTTTCAATTTATTTGATGTAATTAATCAATATTATTAAAGATATTCTGATCCCGAATGCATGTATTCTAGTTAGTTTTGATAATATAATTTTGTATAAATAAGGTATAGTCCTCAGTATTTTCTTCTTCTTCTTCCTCCTTGTGTGGCTTTCAGCGTGGAGTAGCCTCAACCTACTTCAATCATACATCCCTGTCTCTCACCAATTCCTTCACCTGACCTCGGGTTTTCCCTCTTTCCTCACCTAGTCACTGGATATGTTCTTCTAGACCTGCCTCGTGGTCTCCTGCCAGTTAGCCTCGCTTCCATGCATTTCCTCGATACTCTGCTTTCTCCTATTCTACACATGTGCCCATACCATCTAAGTTGCCGGCATTCCATAGTTGCTTTCAGTGAGTGTATCAGGAGTTCCTCAATTATTCTTTCATTCCTCAGCACTCTCAATTATTAAAATTTATTTATTCATAAATAAGCCAGATTTTTGCCCATTCAGGCATCATCGGGATGGGGCAATTTGTACTTAAGTCAATTTTTGTTATGGTGTACATTTTGTGAATCATCATGTCCAGCACTGTACTTTAGTTAGATGCCTATACTTTATTTATATTTGTATATTAATTGCCTTCCTGTTATTCTCATTGACGGTTATAAAGTTACTAACAAGTATTCCTTTAATAGAATGTGTTAAATCATTTCCATTTAAAAGATAAAGTAAAATAAAACTTTTAGGTGCCATAGTGTAGTGTAAGAAGATGGATTTATTTAGAAAAACTGGAGATTACAAAAGTAAAAATATTTTGTACCTCAATATCCATAATAAATAGTATTCTATCCTCATTAAATTAGTTGCCACTGATGAAAATATGATGAAGAGAGTGGAGAGAGTTCATCTGGTCATTATTTTTATTTCTAATCCTCAATTGATAAACACGAAAGGAATATTACCTTAGATCAGATAATTGTTAGTATGTTTTTATTTAAACAAAAAATGTTTATATTTTACTTCAGTTTATTTAATTTATTCAATTTATTTAATATATTAAATTGTTAAGTAAACTATACAAGAAGAGGACTTTTTATTTAAATGAATAAAACTTAATTATAAGAAATCTGATACCTAGTTGAATCGAAATTGGTTGAGTTGAAGTGATAATGAAGCGACCTGTTGGAAAGTTGATTTTTTTCCCTTCATATTCACTGGTAAAAGTAAAAATAATAATTCTTTACTTATCAAAAAGAACAATTTATTAAAATATTTTTGGAAACATGTGAAAAAATACTAGAAGATTGAGAGTAGATGGATACCAATTAGGACAGTGAGGAGAGAGATAAAGAATAAAAGGTGGATGTAAAATTAAAGATCATTACAGAGATGGATGAGAGCTTCCTTAGATGGAGAAAAGTAAGAATATGCCCAGTTCCTTGGTGAACGCCAGAGCTAACTACACTCAAAAGGGAGTACACTAGAGCAAGACATTAATATTAAGGGACCAGAGATGAGGAGATGAAGACTGTATTTAGAGAAGAGAGTAGCTGTAGGTATCAAACCTATCCGAAAACATCCCGGGACAAGTTTATCTCAGAAAAGTCAGCCAAGAATTCCTGGGGTGCATACCATACAAGCTAGCACTGGACAAACTTAAGCCATCACAGATGATGGCAGCAATGATAGTTGTGAACAATCAGGCAACGACCCTAGAGAATGCTGTTGAAATATATTTTGATTACACATATGCAAACTAGGATACTGAGGAGGAAAGAATGATCAGGAGGACTATGAAGTACCCTTTGGAAACAGACCTGTGCCAGCCATGAGGCAATTGGGATGCAGGACTGGAGGTGAAGAGGCAGAGAACTGATTGAGTTTGATGCGGGCATATGACAAGTGCCCCCTCCCTCATTGAAGAGAAATTGCTCAGAGCATTCGATCAATGGTTGGTCAAGAGGTACTTCCTGGACAAGTGAAAAGTCAATTACTTTTACATGAAGCCAGGTGACCTGTTATATGAAGGAAGAGGCAACAATAAGGAACAACCTAAATAATATAGATCAATATTTCTTCTCTCAGTGGTCAATAAAGGTACTAGAGCATTTTATAGTTTCAACACTGTGTTTCATTCTCCAAGCCGCGATTCACCCATTTTAGTATGGCTTGACTAGATAGAAAGGCATGAAAGATGCGTTGGTGCAAGTGTGTTGAGATATAGGGGAGAGGGCAGAGAAGTACATGATGATCTTTTTTGACATATCATCTAGATTCAGTAGTTTGTGGTGGTCCAGTGTACTTCAGTAACTGCAAGAGTTTGAAGTTCCTAGCAACCTGTATTCTCTTGTGATAGGAGGGTAAAGGTGCCAAGTTATGAGATAGAGAGGGGTTGTGCACCAAGGTCAGTGCTTGGACTTGTGCTGGAAGAGATACCTTCTCACCTCTCCTACAAATACACACATATAAATATAATTTAATGATGCTTCCTCCTTCTAAAATATTATAAGGTAAAAAAAAGAAAATGACAATTACTTACGCTAATTGACAATTAGCTATGTATGGATATAGTTTATTCTCTTGTATCGTAAAATTAGGTTAAAAACAAATTTTTTGGCTCTTGACTAAATAATTGTAAGCTAAATAATTATATGTTTTATTATAATGGATTTTAAATGATAAGTGGGCTTGAATATTTGAAGTTAGCTCTAATACCACAACGATATCTATTCTTAAAAACTTCCATATCTAATCTTTAACTATAAAGTTTGTTTATATTATCAGGAAAAACAAAAATGAAATAGGTGAAAAGGAACACCAGAAAGTATTAGAACCTAAGAGGAAGAGTACTCAAGAAACAAGAAAGGTGAGTATTTCAAAAGTGAAAAAGGATAACGTACAACCAAAAATAATTGAAGTAGTAGAACAACCTGTCTCAGAAGAAATCAAAGATAAAAAAATTATAGAAGACAAAATCGAATTGAGTATGATTATTTATTCAAAATTAAAATTTAGTTTCATAATTTTTATTTAAAAAGAAGGTTTGATTCTAATCTAATGCAATATCGGTATATAATTATATAAAACCTGCAATTCATTTTCCGCCATCATAAAATGGTCAATTGTAATAGACTGGAATTGATCCAATATCCACTTTTACTAGAATGGTCCATAAGATTAATGGCCTATTCAAACTAGAATATGAAGGCTGAAATTATTAAAAAGGCCTGTCTCATTTTATGTACCATCTTATGCAGCCACTCACTTATTTAATGACTTATTTATTAAATAAAAAATATATTGAAGCAATATGTGATAATGTTTATTTACTTTTTCTTCAGCAGAAACTAAAGTTGAGCCAACAATGGAACCTAGTCTTTTTGATTCTGATTCACTTGATGTTAATGTGGATGCATTATTTAAAAATGGAAACAGATACCAAGGACGCCTTTCTTGTTATTTGATGGAAGGAGAGGCAACTTATAGTTGGAGTGATGGAACAACTTATAAGGTATTTATCAAATTTTCTTTCCGAATTGATATTAATGGTTAAAGTACATGTTCTTATGCATATATTTTTGTTTGCATGTGTTCGTGAATGCGTTTAATTTTTCATATTAACTATAAATGTATTATTCTCCAGCGAATGTTGATTAACATAAAAAACACTGGTGTAAGACTGAATGTTTGCTATTATAAATTTGCCATTGGAAAATTTACCTATGAATATTGACTTAACACAAGTTAGCTCTGGCGAAAGTTTGAAACAAGCTTTTATAATTTATACTATCGCTAAGCACAGTTTTTGTAATGACTAGGCCTGGTTTGGATTTATGATTATTAGTGAGTCAGAGATGAAGAGCTAAACAAATCCCATACTGGTCGTTTTTAATCGATATCCATCTCTACTGGCAATAATTTCTGCTTGGTAAGGTACTGACCTCAACTGAAAAAGGATCTTTGGGGATTTGTTCGTCTCTTCAGCGAGCATCCAACAGTTGTGATTAAAAATATTAACTAATTGGATTGACATTAACCACATGGCTACCGTTATTGTCAAGTAGGGTAAAAGCATCAGTAGCTGACAGTGAACCGATACCTGACATCTTCCTTGAAAAATATGAATAATAAGATTTGAGGGGACCTTCTATACCTCTATTTCATAAATTTGTGGCTTCAATATTTTCTCCTCATGTATTTGTCTGCTTTGCTAGAGTCTTGTCAGGAACTGAAATAATGAGTAACAAAATAGGAAGTTCTCTCATAGTCTTAGTGTCACAGGAACAATCCAATGACCTATCAGTAAGGGCATCATATCTGAGGTTTGTCTTTTTCTCTTTAACTACTTCAATTTATCTCAATTTTTTGTTTTATTTACTCTTGGAGTGATTTTTGATTATGTTTTATCTGTTTTGAACCTATATTAATAAAGGAATTGCAAAATTTAATGTTTTTTAGAAAAATAAACTTGATTCTGAGTCAAAGTCTCCACATAATAACAATAATGAACAAATAAAAAAATACATATCTGGCTAAAAACTAATTTAATAAAAATTCTAAAAATATATTCAGTAATGTAAATAATAATATGTTAACAACTAAAATTATAAAAATAAAATCTTCTCAAGAATGCTTTTAGTTGTAATATAAGAAAAGAAAAAAAAAAAAAGAAAAGAAATGTAAGTAAAGAAAAAACATTAATTTTTTATGTTAAAAACATAAAAAGTAGATTAACTTAATAAAAATTCTAACATTAATTTTTTTTATTCATTGATATTTACAATTGTATTATAATAAAAAATACAACTAGTAAATGTGCACTCAGGAATATAATGACATGAAATCTCTTGTTGAGAAACTACCCACTGATAGCACTCAAATAATAAATTTACACAAGAAGATCATGAGGCCACCTTCTTTTCAGACGCCTCAAAGGTTTATCAGAGATCGAGGAGGAAGCAAGGTTTGAAATGAGAGGGTTAACATTAATTTAAAAAATAATCTGTAAATGCTAAAAATAAAATCTCAAGAATAATTATTGTTGTATACCAGTGACGCAGCTGGGAGAGAAGCACTGGGGCTGGGCGAATGTAAATATTGTTTATAGTTGTGAATTTGTTTTCTCTATTTTAATTTCATTTAGTTTCTATCTATTATTTCATTTATTAATTTTTTTTTGTACATTTTTATATTAATTTTCTACAATTCTTTTTCTTTATTGTCTCTATTTTAGTTATCATTTGTATGTACATATTGTGTGAATGTTTAATGTAGTCCTAATATTAATGCACTCCAATGTGGCAGAATGTATTAATTTTCAACCAATAAAAAAAAAATTATTGTTGTAATGAAAAGAAAGCAAAATCTGGAGTGAAAACAAATGAGAAAAAGTAAGTAAAGAAAAAGCATTGATTTTTTATGTTAAAACATAAACAGTAGGCTAACCTAATAAAAACTAACAATACAAATTCCAATATATACAGTTATTTAAATATCCTTTAAATGAGATTCTAAATACTGTTGTCCAGCATTTAACAAAAAATTTATATCAGGAAACGCAAGAAGTTAGTTTTATAATAAGTTAAAGGCAATTTTTGTTAATTTTAAAATGAAGAATATGAAATTTCCCATAATTACATCCCTGTCAATTATAGGAGCATTCCAAATCAACCAGTGTCAGCTACTGGTGCAACAAAAGTATTCTTTTAATTTATAATTTTTTAAAATATAGATGAATGTTTCATGGATTCTAAATGCGATGTGGCACGGTAAGAAATAGATCTGTGAGATGAAACCAATAAAAATACAATAACATAAATATTTACCTCTTAAAGTTGAAAGAAATTTCTGTAAGCATGTCAGCTACGGCTGCTTTTACCCTAAGTGAGAAATGAAAATATTTGAACGGTATTTCAGAAAACATCAGGTTTGCATAAATATTCTTCTTTTTTTGCTACCTCCTCAGAGCCATCAGTGTGGAGGAGCAGCTTCAGCCCATCAATCTCTGTCTTTGGTTTTTGCTCTCATTTCTACCATGTTGCTGCCTCTTTATACATCCCTCGTCCTAGTTTTTCTACATAGTCCTGGTACACCAGCCCGGGCCTGCCTTTGAGTCTACAGTTCAATCTCCTCTCACTATATAGTGAGACACACGAAGGGACTCCAGGCCCAATTATAGTCAGATTTGTCAGACAGGCGGTGAGAGATGAGCTGGTGCGGCAACGAAGAGCGAAGAGAGATTTCTCTACGCGCCATCTAGGCTGGGGAGAGAACGACTCGCATCGCGTCTACCTGAGTGAAGCTATGACACCCACCAATAAACACCTTTATTGGTTAGCCAGGCAGAAGAGGGTGACGGCAAAAATAAGATACGTCTGGTTCAGTGGGGGTAAAATTCGTTGCAGACAATCAGATGGAGGTCCAGTAGTAATTATAGAAAAACCAAGTGATCTGGACGTTTTCAGCTGAACTTTGTATATAAGTTACCTTCAGCTTGCAATTAATTTACTTTCTCTCGCTAGAAATATATTTATTATATTTTTATCATTTCCAGCTTTCTTTATTTTTTTATAAATGTAGCTTCTCTTGTTGTTTTTTGTTTCAATTTTTATTCATCAGAAATATTATTATTTTAATTTTAAGCTTCTTTTATTTTTGTATAAATTATTTAGAACTTTATTCGATTCCTTGCCAATTTTTATCAATTTATCTAGACCAAGGAGAAATTTATATTTTCTTATGTTATAAATTAATTTTAACTGAATATTTATTTCGAAACACCGAAAATTTTTTTTTTTTTTCATCTCAAAGTTTATTTTATGTAAGCATTGGTTTTTATATTTATAAACTTGACATTATGCTTAAAAAATGCTATATCCTATCCTTCATCCTTGATCATTTTTTTTTTTTTTTTTCCAAAATCCTACTTCCCAACCCTCCAGTCATGACGAATATCCTGAATTCCTGTCACATCAATGCACAATCCCTTACTGCACACTAGAATGAATTTCAGGAACATTTCCTTGATAATTTTTACCACATAATAGCAATATCCGAAACCTAGTTAAAACCTTTTATCCCTTACTCCCAGATTTCCCTACCCAATTATTCCTTCCTACTATTGTAATAGTATAGAAAAGTAAAATTGTAAATAGTTACAACTGCAAATATGTATATAAATTATTAGAGTGTTCTTCATTATTTTTATTTCATATTTATTTTCAATTTTTTGTTTTTTATTTTTAACTGATCTAAATTAGTAAGTAACTTATAATTTTTTCTATTATTTTTTTTTATTTTGACTATTTAATTACTGTATATTTTTGTTTATGTATCTCTAAGGCTCCTTAGCCCATATTATTGTCTTTTTATATTATTCTAAAGGGACTTGTCCCAGAATAAATAAAGCATTATTATTATTATTATTATTATATATTGATACTAAAACGTTTGATAAATTGCTTTGTACGATTCATCTTCGGGACCCCCCTGTTTCCGGTTTTTATGAAGAGTTGAAGTGGCTTTATCCTTCCTACTGAGTATAAGTAACAAGTATTTCCTGACATCCTTCCTCTTCCAATCCATTCACTCCTGCCATCCTTCACACATCTCCGAGCTCCTTCAATTTAAATCCTCTGTTCGCTCCCACAATACTCATTCCTGGTCTTCAGATTTATATATAATGGCCCACTGAACCGCTGCTTTCAATAAATCTTTTATTATTCGATCCTTATACCTGTGGAACTCCATTCTTCCTGACATCCATCGTTCCAATACTCTCCCTACTTTTAAATCCCGCCTATTCAATCACTTCCTTTCAATCCAGTCTCTATAAAATTGTAAATAGAGGTTTCTGTAATTGTATATATATTATTAGTTTATTTTCATTTCATAGTTCTTTAATTTATTTATTTTTCTTTTAATCAATTTAAGTTATAAGATAATTTTTTTTCTATTATACCTATTAGTTTACTTTGTAAATACATTTATATATATCTGAAGCTCAAAAGCCGACATTTCTGTCCTTGTTAATTATTCTAAAGGGATTCGTCCCAGAATAAATAAAAAGATTATTATTATTATTATAACATAGAAGAACAGATAGGAAGATTGTTTTTGTATCTTTTCTGTTCTTTGTTTATTTTGTGTCTTCCCAAAATTGTTGTGAAGATAGAGTATGCACTATTTGCTTTATTAATTCTATTTAAAAGCTTTTGATCGATTCTTTCTTTGCTGCTGAAAATTTCACTTAAGTATTGATAGTTATCCACCTTCTTTTGTAATTGCATACACAACTGTAATGTATAATTTTAATAAGATCTTCCTCAGCTCGCTGATAAGCATCACCTTCCTTTTTAAAGATTTTGTTCCTATCCCTTATCAATGGAGCTCTTCAGTCCATTCATTGACAGCCAACTGTAACTTTTCTTGAGTGTCAGCAATCAAGGCAAATCCATCTGCATATAATAGAGCTTGTGCCAGCATTGGAGTTGGATTTAGGTACTCGAGGTATTGCTTTAAGTATTTTTCATTCACAGACTTTCCATACTTCAACCATAGATAATCATGAAAAATAGTGTACTTGGGACGTTATCTTGCTTAATGCCTTAAGTAAATGTTAAATCCTATAATTTCTCATAATATATTACCAAAAAATTCAAAAGATCATTAGGTACTGATGCATATTTTTTGATAAAAAATGGACTATTATAATTTCCAAAATATTTTTTTTAGATTTTCATACTTTTTCCTAGCAAATTCAATGTTTTTCTGATGTGAAGCCAGGCATATTTTTTATTATATCATGTTATATATTGTATATTATATATTTGTTACTAAATCTTTATAAACATCTCCAAAATTTGAAAACAAGGCACATAAATATAGTAGATTCTAATGTGTTTCACTACTTTGATAATTTATAATTTTTGAATTTTTATGAAACTTTCGATTCCATTGTTATGCTGCTGTTTTGAAAGTATTGCAACTAATCATCATTATTTCGTTAGCTAGGCCAATTGAGCTTATAGCTAGAGACTCAGTGTAATTATGTACAACTATGTTAAAGGTGTTTTTTATCCAACAAAATTATATTGGTAATAATAAGATAAAAAGTCATTATGGCCTTAATGGTTGATGCATAAAAATAAGTAAATGAATCAAAGAGATGAGATAAAAGAACAGATAGTAAATCCTAAAATTTCTTCAACTATCTTCACTCTGAAAATTCCTTTATTTCCTAATAAATAATACATAATATTAAAGGCGCTGTTTCATTAATGGTTTATTAGTTTATATACATTTTGACTAACACTGAATTATACAAAATAATTTATAGGCTTTTTGAAAAATTAAATAGTTTCATTATATTTTTAAACAGGGAACATTTAAAGATGGAGTAGCAGAAGGATTGGGACTTATCACATGGCCAGACGGAAGCTGGTATGATGGAGAAATAAAACGTAATCGTAGACATGGGAAGGGAGTAAGTGTAATGAGGGTAAATGGAGAGGCAAAAATGTGTTATTTTGGAAATTGGAAAACTGGAAGAACCAATGGAAAGGTAAATAATTGAAAAGAGTTATGTTAAAAGCAATTGATTATAACTAAAGAAGATAGTTGATGTGTAAATAAATGTATGTTGATAAATTATTTATAACCCTACTTTTAATTTTACTATGAAAACAATAATTTAAGATATCAAAAATTTTTTTTCTATAAATCTTGTTTTAAGTTAAGAGAAATAATTTTTTTTTCTATTTAATATATAAATTATGCTAATTTGATGCACAATTTTTACCTTAAATAGGTTAAAAATTGGTTTATTTTTGTTTTAAAATAGAAAATTTAAAGTTCTGCAGATGCAGATTTTTCATTTATGATTGTGTCATAGTTTTTACTTGATTGAATGAGGAGAAAATAGTTTTGGCTTACTATAGAGAGGGCTAAAAAAACAGTTACAGCAGTAAATTGTATACAAAATGTATACTGTGTTACATTATATACTGTAGCTATGCAATATCTCTCTTGTTTTCTTCTTTTTTTATATTATTAAACAAAATTTATTGTATTCTTATATAGTATAAGATAGTGTAATATTCTTAATGTTTTTTTATATATATATTTTTAAATTCATTATATTTTATCAGTTGATCATAGACCTATCCTTAGCTTTTAAATCATTGTTAACTATCAATTATACAAAATATGCTTAATTGTTTTATATATGAACTAGTAGGCCCGTGCGAAAAATTCACACAGCATATTGTTATCAAATGCCTAATTAATAATAAAATAAAATAATGCAACGTATCAAAAGATAAAGTAATCAATTGTTACTTTATCGATAAAAGTAATCGACAAAGGAAACAAAATTAATTTAAATCTTCAATTTTGTTTGGAACCAACATATTTACAAATTTCAATAAGCTGTATCTTTGCGAAAAATTGTCCGATTTCAATGATTTTTTTTTCCTTTTGTAGACAATTAAGTAACGTTTTATATAATCATGGGAATGACCAAGGGAAAAGTGTGTAATTTTTTAGTTATTCGCAAATAAAGTTTCTTTTCTTTCATAACTTGTTTGCCTGAATTTTCGGGGTAATTGGACTATTTTGTCCGCCTGAAGGAGAAGGAAGCCTTCGGAATTGGTGGCTCAATCTTGAGATTTGGTGAAAAATTAATGATGATGTGGCTTGCCGATCAAAAACACCATCGATAAATAATATAAACTCCTGTATCGATCATAGAGACCTCAAGTCGACGAAATGAGACATGTATCCAATGACAGTACTACAATTAACGTCAGGTTGTTTGGATGCGAACCCCATGCCTTGCGTTATCTCGAAAATAGTACGTTTTTGGGCTTAAAAATGCAGGATCCGATAGGTCCGGAGGAACTATCCGGGTCTTGCTGCACGCATCAAAATCTTCAAGGTCCAATTTGTCCCGCATCGATCTACAGACCTACCACCGTTCCAGTATTGAAGCCTAGCAAAATATTTGTATCGACTTTATTTATTTTAGAAAGAAAAACAAAAGTGGAGGATACGATTCGCAAACTAACCCTCCGTGAAATTCAGAATCCAACGGTAACCCATTCATGGTATTTGAGCATAACAGGAACTTATATTTGGTACAAAACTGATTTTGAGCCTTACTATAATAATATATGTGGAGATACAACTTTTCCATCCACTGTAAACATTTATAGTAAAATATGCAATACAATTTTTAAAGCATTGAAATTGGATTACAGTAATGAAAATTCAATTAAGAAAAAATTCCCAACTGATTTTTATTTTTTTAACCTACTAAGGCATTTGAATAATTTTTTGTATTATTTTCTTTCTTTGATAAGAATATGTCATGTGGACTATAGCAAAAATGCAAACAGCTCTTGTCCTTAATCACTTGGTACATTAACACATTCTACCCAGCTATTCGAGAAGTAATTCCAAAGTAAAAATTCAAAAAAATTAAACAAGATCAGCTGGTACGTTTCTGAATAATGTCATCCAATTGATGGGTTTTAACATATCTTAATACCATCACTATTAAAGATATTTTAAAATACATCTTTCATTTTTAGGGTATGCTCATATATGGTAAAGGCAACTGGTATGATGGCTGTTGGAAAAATGGTATTCATGATGGTTTTGGTTTAAGGCAGTATCCATCAGGATCACAATACCTGGGTGAATGGAAAAAAGGACAAGAACATGGATGGGGAACAATGATATGGGCTAATCGAGATGTATGTAAATTTTAAGTTAAAAAAAAAAAATGCTTATAAAAATTAGTTATTTTCAATCTTTGATATTGTTAATAGTATTTTCTTATTTATCATATATTTCTTTATGATCTTTACAAATATATAATTGTATATTGAAAATAACTATTCACTTTAAACATTTTTCATAAAAACACACATTTTCAGTTTAAATGAAAATTATTTTCATGATGAATATCCAGTTTCATTTTAAATTTATTTTTAATTACACTTAATTGCTTCAAAACATACTAAATTTAAGATACTTTAATATTCAGTTTTATTTTTTAAATAAAATCATTTAAGTCTAAAGTTTTCATAAAATATTATATGATACATTCTAGGAAATTTCATGAAGCAGTGCATGGTAGGTACATTAATTTTAACCAAAATAAAAATAAAATAAAATAGAGTTTGGACTACTTATATAACTGATTGTTGTTTTGTGTTGTTATATAATATGTGTTTTATAAGGATGTATTTTGAAGTATAATAACTGAATTAAAATTAGTTTGTAGGATCTTGAAAATGGTTCCTGAAGCTGAAACGTCAAATAAATAATACAGGATGTAAAAACTGTCTATATTTGGCATAATATTTTATGAAAACTTTAAAAAAATGGCACCAAACCTAAAAGATATGACTAGAAAAATAATCATTTAAGTCTATTTTTTTACTAGAAATAATAATCTTAAATGTAAAAATATTTTGAATTTGATTCTAATGATATTTGAGTGCATTAGGAATTCTGAATATTGAAAAAAAAAAAATAATATAGACTATTTTACTCGTATTAAACATCAAATGGCAGGTATACACTGGATATTGGAAAAAAGGAAAAATGGAAGGCAAAGGAACATATGTATGGAGATGTGTCAAAGGCAACGGCTTTGTTCATCCAATGCAAAATACGTTCATTGGGAATTGGAAGAAGGGGCAGCGTCATGGTAATGAAAATATTAAAATATTTGTATTCTTCTTCTTCTTATGTGGTGCTAGGTCCCGCTCCACGCTGATCACAGGTCCAGTCTCCACGACAAGACCTCTCACAGGTTTGACCCCTGGGTCGACCATCAGCAGCTCGCCATCCATCCACCGCAACCTTGGTCATTTATGTTCCCATAAATTAAAATGAAGATAACTAAGCAAACTCTTGTATCTTGAGAACATCAAGTTTAATGCCTGATTAAAGCGTTACAATTCAAATCATGAACCATTTTCGTAAAATGTAGTTTGTAAAAATAAATAAATTTATTAAAAAGATACGTTTTAAGCATATGCATATATCCATCCGATATGATAGATTCAGGAAAAGAAAATATAAAATTGTTTTCTAAATTATATTTTAAATCAACGTCCTTCACAAATAATAATATTTAACAGGACTTAAAACAGCAAAAAATTTATTTTTAAAAAGTTTCTGTATCACTGGCATTTTTATGGTCGATAGTTTTTCATTTCTTAGAGAACTAGAATTTTTTCTTTATAAATGTTTAACTTAAAATTTTCATTTAAAAGTTCTGTCAATTTCGCTAAAAAGTCTCTAAGACTTTTATTCTTGGCTACTCAAACAAACAACCCCTCAGAATTACATGTCAGTCATTGAAGACAAATTATAACTCTAATCTAAGCCCAATTACTGTTTATTTTTCATTTAACAGAACTTGTATTAAAAACTCGAATAAATACAAGTTAAAATTTTACCATAAACCTAGAACATTATTACAAAAAAGTTCCTTAGCAGTTTTCTTTAAAAACTTTTTTTTTCTAAAACGTTTCTAAGAAAATGTTAAATTAGAAGTTCTATAAAAGTTTCAACCCCTGATATTTATATTGCCCTTTGCAGGTAATGGAAGCCTTCTTCTTGCTAATGGTGCTATGATTCATACTGTTTGGGTTAAGGGGATCAAAGAAGGACCTGGCCAGATTATTTGTAAAAATGGTATGGTGATACAATCATCACATCTATTTAAGAATGACAAAGTTTATAAACTGGATTTTCCAATCATGATACCATTTTGGAACACATGGTACTGTCAGTTTTTAAGCAGTTATAGGAGTGGATTATTTTATGTGCAGCAGTTGGAAGTAAGAAATAAAAAAGTTATAATTTTTTGAGAAAATATATTTGTATATCACAAAATTTACTTTAAATTATTTTCAGAAATTAATTTAGTAATATAATGTTGACTAAGACTGTGAAATTATTATAATTATGAAATATTTAAGTAAATAAGTGAATACTAACTTGTTTATCCTTATCATTGAGATAAGGTTTCACAAGTTACATTGAACATTTAAGATTTTTCAAGGTACCTTAAACAATGTATTCCAATCAAAAGCTAGAAAACTACATTTATATTTACTCACTTTCCCTGAATTTCAATAAAACTAAATTTTTTCTACCTTAAAAAAAAACCAAGTTAACAGACTAATATTATAGGGAAATTTGGAAGATACCGAAGAAAATTTTATTGTGCCCCAAGAAACTCCAGAAAAACACAATATCTGCTCAAATAATATTCCCATATTTGCTCCCATTGAATCAATGCCTTTATGGGATATAGTAATGAAGACAGTTTGCCAGCCAATTCCAGATCTTAATGGTGAAATTAGTTATATCATTAGACCAGAGGTAGGTATTTAATCGAATATTGTTCACTAATAGATTTATTTATAATTGAGGCAAAATTAAATATTATCACCGACCAACTTAGATGAATTAGAATCATGCTCAATCAGTTCTATACCATCTTTAATAAATTGAATAATATACTCTTGATTAATGATAAATCATCTTTAATAATTATAATTTATGGTATAATAAATAATTTATATTTGTGAATGGAATATAGGATGTAGAACTGCTGAGCACAGAAGAAATGTGGTTGAGAAAAGTAATCACAAACAGGATGGCTGATATAAGCTGCATATATCAGCACTATGCTACTATTGCTTGTGAGAAGAAGCCAAGATTTAAGGCTTGCATGTTTAGAATTATGCTATGGCAAATGTGTAGAGATTGTGGTGTTGATCAGACTTCTTTCAGTTTATGCGAACTTGACCGTGAAGCAGGTAAAAATATTTGTTATAAGTTCTGTAGTTTAAAAACATAGAATAGAATACGAAATAAACATTTTATATGGACTAGACACATTAGAATAAAAAACATGTGTACATATAAATAGAATACAATACTGGCTAAAAATAACATAACCAAAATTCAACCAGTATATATATATTATAAAAAATTAAGACATATACCTAAGCAAACAAATAAAATCAACTCTAGAATAAATATGTATGAAATGAAATGAACAGACAAAATAAAATAATAATAATAAAAAGGGAACACTATGAATTAATTCTTAAAGTTAAAGATTACATATTGAAATTATTATTCACTTCTAATCAAGAGTTTATTCTTAAATTAAAATTCAAGATTGGAGAGCATATGTTTGAGATGTGAGAAGGTAAGGGAAAGAAGAAAGAATAGGGAAGATGCTTGGAAAGATAATGGTAAGGAATTTCAGATGACATGAAATGAGCAAGAACATTCAAAGGATTTTGTTACGTGGGAAGGATAATAGAGGTCAGAAACAGAGGATCTTGTTTCTATGAGTGGAACAAGTTGACCAAGAGTGAATTGCAGTAGACTGTAGATGTAAGAAGGATATTGTTAATAGTTTGGTATAAAAAAACAAACAAAAAAACCATGAAATATTGTTGATGGAAGGAAGAAAAGAGCCACTTTAACTCGCCATAAAGGTGGAATACATGAGATTGTCTTGTCATATCAAAGAAAAATCTTAATGCGCTATTTGTGATTCGCTTCAATCTGTCTCTGAGTATAAAAAAAAAAAAAAAATTAAATGATTCGAAAACACTTTAGTCAAGAAATAAGTGAACATATCTTCAAGAGAGTATTGAATTCTCTATAATCCTGCTTATGCAAGAAAAATAATGATTAAAAATGTAATTAATAGATATTTTTATGCCAAAATATGAAGTGCTGATTTTTTGTATGATTTTAATTAACTGTTACTGAAATTTTTGTTCACAGGCTGTGATAGTTACCCATTTGCAATTGTGCTTGTTTTTCAAATGATCCACTATCTTCTAATTCTGGCGCATGAATTATGTGTTAAAAAAAGGTTGGCCAATGAATCCATACCAGGAAAATGGGGAGGTGCATTTGACTACTTCCTCACAAATTATGCTTTACCTGGAATGCAAAAAACTTGTAATGAATAATTAATTAATTTTTAAAAGTTGTATTCGCTATAAGGTAATGAAATGCATTTACAATAATATTATATTCTCTGCTGTGACACACAAGTCCATGTTTGCTTCTCTGAAAAATAATGTGCAGGAGGTTTGATTTGCATCTTCTGTCCACCATCAACAGTCACGTTACATTTTCATAAAATTGTGCAAATAGAATAAAAGTTCAAGGGCGAAAAAATATATTAGAGGACTGGAATGGAAATGAAAGTAATGTCGTTTTTGAACTTGTCACTATTTGATTCTCATTAGGCACCTCATTGTGTGCATCAAAGTCATAGCAAAGACATAAAGTTAAGAGTGAATTCTTTAGTTGCAAATAACTAAATTAAATTTTTCTCTCTCGCAATTTTTGATGAAATGGCCAACCAAATAACAGAAGAGGTACATATCTGGCATTCCATACTTCTTTAGTTTCGCAAGGGTAACAACACAACAATTGCTACCAAAAACATTTGTGATGTTTATCCAAATGCATTAGGCATTCGTAAATGGTTTTTGTAGTTCAAATCCCGTAATTTTAATCTTTCCGACTCCAATCGATCAGGAAGACCAACAATCTCAGACAATGAAATGAAATGAAAATAGATTTATATTATCCTGGGACTGTTGTCCCTTTAGGAAAAATTATAGATACAGAGGAAATGCCTCTATGGCCATAAAATTCAATTAAATATTTACAATTCTCATTAAAATTAAAATATTGGAAGAAAAATAAAACAAAAACTCTAAATACATACAGATATATATAATAAAAACATGTGAAAATAAAATAACATAAGTAAACAAAATCATTTCTTGGGGAACTTAAAAAGTTCTCTTATCTTCCTTTAGCAATAACGTGTTAAGGGGGCGGAAATCAAAGCTAATCTATGTCAGACAATCAAAGAATTGTCAAACAGTCTTAAGCAACCATGGTCAATCGTCCAAGAACATTTGCAGCAGATTGGGAACCACCATATGCAACTTTTTGCTTCAGCACACTAAAGAAGCGTTTTTTGATCGCTTGATCACCGGAGATGAAAAATGAGTCCTGTATGATAATCCAAAACATAAAAGGCAGCGGCTATCTCCAAAAGAATCTCCACGAAGTACTAGTGGAGTATTCCCTGCGTTGCTTATTTTTAAGTGCTCCAAACTAGACAAACTGTGAATACAGACCTTTATTGTGAACAATTGGGTCATGTTAATCAATCTTTAATTGAAAAGTGGCCAGCGATTTTCAACAGAAAAGGCGTTATTCTGCAACAAAAAATGCAAGATCACACTGCGTAAGACGATCCCTGGAAAAATTAATGAATTGGGGTGGGAGGTACTGCTTTATCCACCATACTCGTCTGATGTTGCACCATCGGATTTCCATTTGTTTGGATCGTTTCAATACTTTCTAAATTGCAAAAGATTACCAAATTTGAATGGTGTCCAAAATACCATCTCTATATATTTTGCTAAAAAAACAATTGATTTTTATCAATAATTAGGATGATTCCATTAATGATTAAATAAAAAATCTTTTGTGAAATTTATGTTTGAATTTAATGTAAGAAAACGATATTACTTCTTTTGTTCTCCCTAATACATTAATATAATAATAAAAGGCTTAGCGAACCCGAAGGTTCGATGCCGACACCACCAATCGCTTATTACACACCTCTCCACCGTTCGCTGTCCAAACTCAGTCCTTTGAGACGGCTTTAACGTAATCTTTCCCCCTTCGCCTCGGTCTTCTCCTTGGACGTTTACTATTCGGTACAGAAAATGTACAGGTAACCTTCTTCTAACGGCATTCTTTAGTTACCAAGCCCATTTGATTCGACGCAATGTAATCAATTTAATTATATTAACCGGACACAGTTCACGCAATTCGGCATTGTGTAACTGTCTGAACTCCTCGGTTAACTCATCCTTCTTCGGTCCGAATATTCTACGCAATACTTTATTTTCAAAAACCATAAGACGTTGCTCATCCCTTAATGTAAGCGGCCACGTTTCGCATCCATAAAGGACTGTAGGTAAGATAATGGTTTTATAGATTCTAGTCTTTAAATTCCGGGACAAGATGCGCAAGCTAAGTAGTTTTGTCATAGAAAAATAACAAACATTTCCCATCTTCAGCTTAACCTTAATATCCTCTCCAATTTCGTTTTTTCTAGTTATGGTAGACCCTAGATACCTAAACTTCTCTACCTGTTCAAACAAATTACCTTTTATATAGATATCACCAGCAAAATCACCATTTTTGCAGCTAACCATATATTTTGTCTTATCCATGTTTATTTCGAGCCCTAGCTCTTCACTGGCTTTCATTAACTTTGCAATATTTAGTTTTATAGTTTCCGTGTCTTTGCTTAACAGGATCCTCCTAATACATAGTTTAGTTAAAATATTTTCTTTGAACACTAATTTATAATTCTTAAAAGAATGAAATTAGAAATAAATAAAAACTATTATAACCAGAACAATTAATATTCGAATAAAACTTCTCCGTTTATTTGAATTAATTGGCCAGAGACAAGAAGAATTAAAAAAAAAAAGATTAAATTAACAAGATATTCAAAACAAATATAATAATTTAGTGGGAATAGTGCAGTCAATCAGTTGTATCTAGCAGTGAACAAGTGGTAATTCTTTCCAGATGAATGGTATATTGGTTGTAGCATATAATAGAAAATTTTGTCCAAATGGCATTATTCATTTGGCAATTTACTACATCATGTTTTATTTTTCTTTAATCATTTTCAGAATTGATTTTTACTTTTGGAGCCTAGGAGCTCAATAGAAAGTAATGTGTAAAGAAAAAACTTAAAAGATCAAACTTTTACTCCAAAAAAAAAAAAAAAAAAAAAAAAAGCCAAATTTTACCATAATGGAATAATGAATCATAAGTATAATTAATATTAAGATTTTAAAACATCTTCCAAGAAACATTGAATTTTTATTTAACTTATATATGGTGGAAAAAAAAAATTTATTTATTTTTTTGTAGCCCAAATTCCAGAGCTGTGTAACACAATTCCTCTGAGAAATATTCTTTCTCTCTATGAAGATATTGGAGTACCAGTGACAGCAGCAAAAGTTTTAAATCATCTTTTGTCTAAAAAAAAGGTTGACCTGAAAAAATCTAAAAACATAATCAATGGTCAGATTTATGGTACAAAATTGATTTAATTGTTTTTATTAATTAAATAGATTTTAGGTACTATAGTCACTAACAATGCTTTTATTTTTCAAATAAAATATGACTAGAAAGAAATTTAGACTTTAAATTTTCAGTGTAGATATAACAGTTTTTGAAAAATATTGTCAAAATTAAAAATGATATTACTTTTTTTATGATGCAGCAAACAAAATAAAAATTAATTGTAAGGGTATTATTTAATTTTCTAAATGCATTGTATAATTAGCAATTACTTTTGTTTTAAGATTAGTGTGATCCATAAGTATAAAGGAATCTCAATGACTTCATAAAAAGGCATTAAATCATGAAGTATTGGTCCAATTTTGATTACATTATAAGATAGTGGGAATCTTAAAAGGCTTTACTTCCATTACTTGATCTACCATAATGGACAATATTTCAGACTTTCTTCTTTTTTTAATGAAAGCTATAATTAAGAATTGACATAATATCACTACATTGATAAAATTTAGCATATAAATATTTAGCTTTATTTGATTATATTTTTCTAATTCAATTTTATTCTTATAGGACAAAACAAAGTTTATCCAGACGGCAGAATTATATTTGAAGAAGTAGGTGGAACACTATTAGGAACTGTTTTTGATTTTCAAGATTCTGATGAAAAATATTTAGGTTTTGATGAAATTAAATTATTGGGAAGAAGAGAACTTTCACGGAATTTATTAAATGTTTGCCCAAAAGTGAAGGTTGGAAATATTCCTAAGACTTCATATGAGGTATGATATATTTTCAATTTATATATTATTATTAAAATAATTTTATGTTTTAATGATTGAATAATAAAATTCTGAAAATAAGAATTAAAATTTGTCTTGTCTTTAAATAATGAATCCCCACATTTTGGAGGGAAATGATTTTACTAAGCCTCAAAATTTTCATTGTACCAATATGAAGTCCTTTCAAGCTCAAATGCCACGAATGGGATAACATTAGATTCAGAACTTCATGGAGGTTAGTAGGTTCATTCAGTCTCATTAGGAACAATTAATTCTTTTAAGGACATTTTAAGTTTTTATCTTATTTTTTTTTCTTAGGAAAAATTAACTCTTCAAACATAATTAATACATAAAGTTTTGAGCCACTTTCTTCATCTCCAAGCTCCAATCTTGCATTTTCTCAGTCCACACCAGTTAATAAATAAAAATTTCAAAAAATTAATTTATTTTTATTTTTTATGATAAGCCACCTTTCTTTTTTTAGAATGTATCTCACTAAATTGAACAACAAAGCAGGAGCCTATTATTGACAAAAGAAAAAAAAAGACAACTAAGGATAAATGAAAAAAAAAAAATAAAATTTTTGGATATTTAAATTTTATAACTGATATGGGTTAAAGAAATGCAAGATTGGAACTTCAAGATGAGTTCAAATAGTTAGAAAAGTGTTTCTTATGACTCAATACAATGCTTGAAGCTTGAATGAAATGAATGAATGAAAAAATAATTTTATTCTGGGACTACTGTCCCCTAAGAATAATAACAGAGTTACAAATTTATGTATCTTATTCTGACATAGTAAAAATACCAACTAATTTATTGTTAATTGTTATTTCAATTGTGCAACGGATTGAAATTAAACATTGTATAGATGCAAGTAATTTTACATGCTAGGGGAAGTTTGAATGTGGAGTAGGTGTTGGAACAGGAGTTGTTTGAAGGAATTTGTGGATGAGGATTGACGCATGGAGGTAGGAAGTGAGTTCCATAAGGAAGCAGCACGAATGACGAAGGATTTGCTGAAGGAGGAAGTTTTATGGGAGGGAATATATAAGTCTATAGGTTGAGACCTAGTATTAAAGGGTTATGAAATTTAAATAAGTTTATTTATCATATTTTTTCAGGTATCATTTTTGGAATTCTGTGAGTTTATTAAAGTATGCCTCCAGAAATATAATGCCATAATTGATCCTGATACGGAAGTATCAATTGTAGCAAAGCTAGCTAAGTGTGATCACTGCAATAGATATGTAGAAGTTGAAAGACATTTTGAATTAGAACAAAGAACAGAAATTACAAATGAAAGCGAAGAAGAAGAACAACTAACAAATTCTCCTAGTTCTGATACAAATGAAGAAACTAATAAACCAGATTTAAATCATAATATTTTCAATGAAAATCACCAGGATATTTCAGCCAAAGGTATTATAATAGAAAACAAACTTTATTCTGAGACTAGATCCCTTAAGAATAACAAATATGTACAATTAAAAAAAAAAAAAAAAAATACTGGCCAATATGTCTATATTATATAGATTTATATTAATACATAAAATCAGATAAATGTGTAAATGTTAACAGTTACCAATGAAAAATTCTATTTTGTTAGGCCCTGTTCCTGTCTATAAAAAAAAAACTAAAGGCATTCGATCAAATTTGAAACAAAATGATGGTTGCCCTTGTAAAGACAGCGAATTTGTTTCCATCAATGACAATTCTATTACGAAAATATGTAATTGTGAAGAGACTTGTGATTGTTCCTGTCACAACTTAAAAGAAGCTAAAGAGAGCGAAAGTTTTGAAATTATAGAAAAACATGATAGTACGAGCACTGAAAGCAGCATCCCCGCCACTGGTAGGAAGTTCAAAGATGCTAAAGCTATTACAATTTCGGCTTGTGATTCTGATTGTCAGTGTTTCTGTCATGAAATACCAGAATTAGATGATGAAAAAAGATTCAAGAACAGTAATTTTAAATCGAGAATATGGGATAAAGAAAAGGTGAATGAAGATTTATTTGAAGATGCTGTGAGTAGTATTAAAATATCTGATGCAATTAACTATCTTTGCGGTAGAACTAATGATGAAGAGGAAGCAGTTGACGAGGATAATTCAGAAATGAATCTTGAAGACTTTAGTGAAGAGTCTTCAGATGTGGAATTGGAAGAAATAGGAGATGGATTGTTTGAAGAAGAATTGTCAGATGAAGACAATATATTAGCTGGAGAAGATTTTATAGAGACCACAAAACAATTTTTGTCAGATCTGGACAAGATTAAGAATCTCAAAAGTAACACGAATATGAAAAAGGTCTATGAAAAATTATTACAGTTCAATTGCCCAACATTCAAAATAAATTATAGTGAATTTTTTAAAAATATAAATACAAAAGGAATGACTCCTGAAGAACTAAAGCTTAGATTAGGACTCGAAGGTGAGGAAGATCTTCTTGAGGAACAAGAAGTTGAAGATATTGAAAAAGAACTTATTAATGAGTCCTTAAAAGTTATAAAGTTAGTAGCGAAACAAAGGCTGTATGAAAAACTTCTAATGGAACAATTCAAAAAAACCATATCACAAACAGAAACTGGTGAGTATTGGGAACATTTTGTTCAAAGCCATGATTGCAACTGTATTTGTAAAAAATGTCTAGTTGGAGATTGTGTTAAGAAAAAGAAGATAAAATTTGTTGTAAAAGATATGGAATATGACTTATCTTCTGATTCATCTGTTTCAATAATATAGCTGCTATAGGTTCGTTCTTCGAATGTACATTCAAATAAATAATGTTGTATCATTGAATTAGGTTTATTAAAAGTTCAAGTTGTACTGTGAAATCAAAGCTTCGTTTTGCACCCAAGTTTTTTCATCTATTCAAATCAGCTTCATAATGAGTTGTTAACCTATCAAAACAGAGTAGGAAATAATCTTATAACAATGGGCATCAACAAAGTTCCAACAAATTTTTCTAGTTTTTTTTTTTTAGTAAATGATGGAATACCAATAAGCTATAACATAAAATGTTGCAAGAAAATTCTATATATATATATTTTTTTAGAAATATGTCGGAAACAAATCTTAAGTGCTATAAATATTTAAATAAACATTTATAAGTATTGTATAAGAACATTTTCCCAGGTCAATTTTAAAATTTACTATCCTTACTCTGATTAATAATTATAATAATTCCTTTTTTTATTTAAGTTTAATATTGGTTTCAAATTAGAATCATTTCTTTTCATAGCATAATAATACTAGTGTTTTATTAAAATATTTTCTTAAAACTAATCCCTTCTTTTCCTTTAAATGTATTCACTCCTTCATACTTATATGTTAAAAAAAAACTTATATTTCAATAAAAAATTATTATAATATATATGTTATTTATGTTGACTGCACCCGAGATCAACTACTCAAATTATAATCCCGGTCAACTATCTTCACACTATTAAAAAGACTTATGCTTTGTAAATATATATATATATTTTTTCCGTTGGTGCTAAAGATCTTTGACCACGAGATGTGGTCTCCTAGACCACACCCTAATTCCTGATTTAAGTACAGGGGGGTAGGATCATCAGACCTACGCCCAGTCAGTGTGAGTTGCCTCCAGTAGACTGACGGGCCTCACATACCCGGGGCGGAATCTTGGGTGGAGTGGCTTTCCTTAGTGGACAGTCACCCATTCCAAGTGCTAACCACACTCAGCATTGCTTAACTTTGTTTACCTATTGTAAGTGCTTTATCCCGTATAGCTATCCCAGCCCCAATATATATATATATATATATATATATATATATATATATATATATATATATATTGTTGCGATTTACTTCATTCATTTTAAAACGTTTTAATAAGGAATGTAATGGTGTGGGCAGCCCACACTAAAGTTGCTGTGAGGGCGTCTAGCAAACAAGATCAGTATCAGTTGGTTCCCATAAGTTAGCCAATACAGTCAAGTTATCATCAGTATTTATTTCTTTAGTAACTTTTTAGCCAGCTTTTGACCAGTGGATTTCTTTCCCGACCTTCATTATCTGGATATCATTCCATAATACAGTATTTGAAGCACTGTCGTTTATTAGATCTAAAATCATTCACAGTGACCAAAAAATTATAAAAAGTAGATTCAATATAAAATATAATGTTATGAAAAAACAGAATAATACCTATACATATATATATATTTTGATAAATTTTCAGTTAATGGTCTCTTTTACTCTTTTAACTGAAAGTAGGGAAACTTTATTCATGTAGGAAGTGAAACAGCTTTTCTTCAGAATTGAAAATTCCTACTTTTGTTTTACGTTTATCAAGGGTCAAATTAGTATCGTTTGAAGTCAAATCCATGTAACAGGAATAACACCTACAAGTGTTAATCTATTTTGAAGACATTTTCATGGATCATGTAGGTTGATACAGATATGGTTCCAAATCAATTTTATCTAATTTCATACACTACTTTCACTCATGCATGCACACACACTCTTATTTCTCTTAGGATGTCTATATTTAAAAAACTGTTTATCAAATTAGGTTTAAAGTTGTGAATTAGTTCATAAATGGTATAGCATCAATTTAATCAAATTTGGCATTTGTTTTTTCTTCATTACAAAAAGAAATGGAGAATGAGATACTAACTTGCTTAGGATTCTTTTTTTTTATAACTGCTGTATTTTGGTGATGAAAATAGTTCCAAACTGTATCATCCAGCAATTCATTTTTTACAAGGCTTGAACTGGATACTGTCCTAATTTATCTTTGAACAATGGATAAAACCCATTACATTAATACACTTTCCTAAAAATGTGTAATCAATACAAGTTAACATTAGACTGGAAATAAAAGATATTTTTTCTACAGAAGATTTTTATAAAAGTATCTGTGCAAGAGCAACAAAATGTTCAAAAATTGACTAAATTTCATATAAATAAGAATAATGCTGACATAATTAAAAGGAAAATTAAAAAAATATTAATAAAAGTTTTATTTAAAATTTGTATAAAAGAATTTACAAGATATTTGTAATAATAGATATAGAAAAATAAACATTTTAATATATCGATTCCTTATCTTAGATTCAATGCCGGTATTACAACATATAAAACTTTAAACAATTAAAATTTAATTTAACAAATTTCACAACAAAGGCCATTCATTGGTAATGTTAAAATCATATAAAATTATATTAGTCTATTAAAAGCTTTATAACTACAGGAATTATTTTTGATAAAATAACTGTTTGAAAAATAAAAAACATACATTATATATATATATATTTCATTTAGAAATAGATATATGATATTCTATGAATAAAAAACATATATATTTCCAAATAAAATAATTAAAACATGGTAAAGAAAATACAACTTGAAAAAAAGATTGATAATAAGTTACAAATAATAGTTAATACTAATTTAAATGCGTACAGTAAGAACAGTAACAAAATCAGTTCAAGTATTACAATTGTAAAAAAAATATATGTAACTTACATTAGTTGTAGTGAGATTTGACTTTGGTAAAATATGGACGGATACAATATTACAGATGTCAACAGTATTTAACTATGTTAAGAATAAAATAATCATTTGTACAAACATGAACAAAAGCTATGCAATATATAAAAATAAATTAAAGTAATAATGTTTGCAATGTTTCTTTGAACAAGAGCACGCAATATCAAAAGATAGGGTGCATGCGTTAAGTTGGTGAAAATAGTTCGTGAATTAAAAATTATTAATTACAGGCTACAATTGAAAATACATTTTTATAATCATATTACATCAACTTTTGTTCATAAGAAAACAGATGCAACAGAAAAAAACACATACCAAATGTCATGATTGTATACATAAACACATTTTAAGGTGGAAAAAGTCCTTCTAACTTATACTAAACAAAAAGTTTAGACATACTAACATTCACTAAACAGTAAAAATATTTTGAACTGGGATTCATTTGAGATTCAGTTTCGATAATGGTTGGATGGAATAAAAATCACAGAGCAATTTCAATTTATCAAATTCATAAAATGTTTCCTATTTGAGCCTTAAAAGCAGAAAAAATGTAGTTATGAAGATGACATATAGGGAGGATGCTAATGAAGTTGAAGAATTGCAACCATCTTCGGAACAGTAACATTCCTCCCAATATATGCCATTTTCTCTGACTCCCCAATTACAGACTCCCGTCACACCAGTTTCAGCGACTGAAGCACACCTTCTGATCACTTGTCTCCATCTTCCATCCCCTAAATTAATGGAAATTTACTGGTTATTTAAGATATTTGCTATTGGAAATTTAAACATTAACCATACATTAATATCATAACTTCATTTTTTTTTTAATTTTAATAACTAACTTGAAAATATAATTCTTTAAACTCTTATCAACAACAATCATTTAACATGCAGCAATAAAGTAATAATTGAAAATTAATTTATTATTTCCAATTGAATTAAATTGCTAATATATCAACACATTACTAACTCATCAATTTCTATGGTAAGATGACACATGAGGAAATATACATGGATAATTCTTCCCAGAAATAGCAAGCTATTAACAAAAAATGTTTAAGACAATTCAAGGTTGAATATTACAAAATTCTTTCATCTAGCTATCATAAAACAATAGACAGCACATTAAAGAGTATTCCTGAGTTTTGTTTTATTTAAACAACAAGTAATAATTTATGTTCTAGTGACATCTTTTTTTCTCCACTTCCTCGCGTTTTTGGCTATACGAGTTTTATCCTGGGCCAAGAGATTAGTGCCAAAGTTAAAAACACATCTAATCTCAACTTGTAATCTTCATTTTATCAGGTTGCTGGGCAACACATGTTTTACACACTACGTTAGCCTGTTCGGCAACCCTGCCCTCCCAATTCTAAAGGGGATTTAAATATTGAAGATATTAAGTCATAAGTGTGATAGTGTGTGAGCCATAAGTGTGATAGCTTACAAATTAAGCACGCAAACTCCTAACGTTTTCAATGCAGTCTAGAGGAGTGCTACTTGCTTTTATTTTGTTTTAGGCAGCTCTATAGATTTAATGGGGTTCATTTCCCCACTCAGATATCACTCTGGAGTCCTCCGCCAAACAAGATAAGTAAATAATTTTTTATATTTCTTTCCTGGTGTGACACATTCAATCTAAATATACAACGACTTACATTGAAATTGAAACATCCCATAAAAGAAAAAAAAAAAAGACTTGAATGGTTACAGTAAACTAATAAAACCAGAAACTATTCAAGATTTATTTATAATTTCAATTTAAATATGTACAAACTCAATAAACTTAAAATATTCAACTGTGATTATTTAAAAAAAATTAACAAAAAACTGGATAATTTTACCTCTGTCAAAATGATACACCTCACTTCTTACTAACTTGAAAATACTATTTGTTTTGTTCAATACCTTTTAGGCAAGCCATTATTTTCTACCATTTATTTCAGTTTGAGATGGAGTCTATAAATTTTTAGGTGAATTCTGGGCTTAACCTATTCCACTCTTCAAGGAGATATTTTTTAAGTCTTTGTTATAAATTTCGTGTTTTCTAATTTCTACCTCCAATTTTTCTCACAGGTGTTCTATCACATTAAGATATGGTGACTGTGGTGGAGTTTTTATAACTTTGGGACAGTTATAAAGTAGCCATTGCTTAACTAATATGGCAGAGTGTTTGGTGCCATTATCCTGTTAAAAACTAAATTTATTTTTTAGACCCAGATTTT